ACCAGTTCCCGATCCCGATTCCTGTCACGTACAACTCTCCGGATCCTGAACCGACTCTCGCGTTACACCAGGCTACGGGCTTCCCGTAGTTAGGCCGGGCTTCCCGGTTGCCGGAACGACGCCTCTTGCTAGTTGATAAGCCCGTACCGCGTTATACCGTAAGACCGTTTTGTATATACCGCGACCTGTTTGTACCGTAAGACCGCTTTGGTCTCCGCGTCCTAAGGGACTCTAGTACCGCCTTGTGTATACCGCGACCTGTTTATACCACAAGACCGCTCTGTATATACCGCGAATTATAATTATAGAGTAAATTAGCCATACTACGATTTCCGTCAGTGTCGCGCCGACTCCACCTGTACACACGGCCTTCAGATATAGTTACTTGCATGCCCGCGATCGCAGAACACGTCCGCATGGGCCGCGCTCGCTTCCCGAGCTCCACGTGCACCAGCCACGCGCGAATTTCTGTACGCACTACTTTTGCATGTCGCATTGTGAATAACAACCGCTCACGCGAAACTCTGTACGCACCGCTCCCGCATGTTGCATTGTACATATAATATAACTCAATGTTAGATGTTGATAATCGCTTAAATAAACATAATTGTTTAACCGCTTATACCGAGGTAAAGTAAGTTGGAGTTTCCCCCTTCTCCCGAATCCTGGCACCGGCGAGCCTTGATCCGCGGCGTACGGGAAAGATGAAACGTTACAATCTTATATTAGAGAAATGTCGTCATTCTATCGTCATAGACCCAGTAAGCAATTTGATAACAAATTGTTGTTAAATTGGCATCAAATTCGCTCAAAACTTGGTAACAAATCCAGTGCCATCTGTGTCCGCATTAAGCTTGTATTTTGGCGACAAAGCTTGCTGACATAACCTGACAGCAGATTGACGGCAAAATCGAGCAAAGCTTGACATGATTTGACGTCCAATTGGTGGCAAAAATCGAGCAAGATCTGCGCAAGACAATCTGACATCAGATTGTCAGCAAAAAGCGAACAAATTCTGCAGCTTTTGGCCATTCATATAAAATAGTATAATTAAATGGATTTAAAGTCTCAACCCTAAGTAACAAAATGATGATAAGTTTTGGTCATAAGGTGACTATTATATAATTAGACATTATATAAAATCATATATTAATGTGTGAAAACATATAGATAAATTTAAATAATTTAATTTATAAAATTAAAGATCTTTTTGGACAGAAATTGTTCGAATAAGTGAAGATATTATTAGCATTTTGCAGGCTTTATACACTTATAACAAGAATATGAATACGGATATAGATAATGAATAACGCGCCGCATAGCGATAAACGACTGAACTCTTTTATAATACTTTGTAATAAGCTGCAGATTTTGTTCGGTTTTTGCTGCCAATTTGCCATCAAATTGCGCACATCAGATCTTGCTCAGTTTTTGCCGACAATCTAATGTCAGTCATGTCAGCAAGCTTTGCTCGGTTTCTGCCGCCAATTTGCTGTCTAGTTATGTTAGCAAGCTTTGCTTGGTTCTTGCCGGCAATCTGCCAGCTTAATCGGTAATAACAACTCTTGTACCAAATTTGTAGCCTTTTTGCTGACAATAATTTGTAGCAAGCACTTGGCAATATCTGTTAGAACAGATGTGGCTGACTGGGGATATGACGTCCACGGTCTGTGACTTAGGACCGTCATTCTAACGTCACTTTTACATCATTTCAAAAGTGAATTTGACGTAACCAGTGACTAAAAAATGACGTTATAATGACGACACCTTGCTACCTGGGATAGTTCATACTTCAGCCGCTAGTTCGTTTATTTACCGCCATGCGACGCGCGATGCGCCCCATCTCGTATTTGAGTTTCATGAGAATTATATAAAGTTTGCAAAGAGCAACTGGCAGGAAATTAAAAATGTAATTATTCCTATCAGTTTAATTTCTGATGCAATCCCAATATAGGGAATTCAGATATCAGACTACTAGTTTAAAAATTGGGTAGATAAATATCCGAAAAAGTTAAAATTATCCATTTATATATATATATATATATATTTTACATATACAGGATGTCCCCAATTTAAATGTCAAAACTTTGGAAGCGTGTAGGGGACCGATAAACTAAGACAAAAAGTCCTTTAGAGATTTGCTCGTTTTTG